CTGCAGATCTTCATCTAGTCTAAGGAGTTTGGATGAGTTAGCAGGACGGAGGAGTCAGGAGTTTTTCAAATAAGGAATGGATATGTGGCTTAAGCCTCAAAGTCTGGAAGAACCACAGAGGCGGAATTACAAATCCGCCTTTGTGGGGTTACAGATTAAAGTTTGTTTGAATGATTGATGATTTGTGCTGGTACTGAAACTTGAAGCCAGTCATTGTTTCTTAACTTTTCCACTCAAGGCTGGTGCTCTACCACTTGAGCCCCACCTTCGATTCTGACTTGTTAGTTAATTACAGTAGTTAATTAGAGTCTCATGCACTTTCTCACCCTGGCTGTCTTTAAACTAAGATCTTCCTGTCTCAGCCTCCTGAATAGCTAGGATTACAGGCATTGAGCCACCAGTACTCATCTGGATTTAAGTTTTACAATTCAACACAATCTTATCTTTTCAGGGAAACCTTCCTTAATTACTCTATCTAAATATTGTGTTCCTTTCTGCCTCCTGTCTTCCCTGTTTACTATCTCTCACTAAGCCAGTACCCATTTTATTCTTTTTTTTTTTTTAACCTCCCCCTTCCTCACTTGAATAGAAGAAATTTGTGGCTGTTTTTCTTTGCTAGGCCCTCAGCACCTAGAGCATTACCTGGTGCATCACATCCCCAAGATTATGCATGGTACATTACTAAATGAATTGATTAGTACCTGGACCAGGCCTTGTTCCTGACACTGGAAATAAAGCAGTAAATAAGAGAGGCAAGTTTCCTGCTCTCCTGCCTCTTACCTGTTAGCAGAGCAGAGCAAAACAAACCAATAAACATGTGCTTCCAGAGGGCATCTGTCTACTAGGGGAAAATAGAAGCAGGGCAACCAGAATGTGGAGCATGAGGTAAAAATACACTGTTGCAAACATTGAATGTGTAACAACAGAGAAGACTGTTTTCTTTCAAAGTTATTTCTCTCTGAATGATATACTCTGGTTTTCATCCTTGGTTATTCTTGTGAAAGGAAAAAATAAAGAGTCAGGCATTAGTGGCTTATACCTGTTATCCTAACTACTTAGATCATGGCTCAAAGCCAGCCTGGGCAAGGGACTCCATGAAACACTCACGTCTAATTAGCTAACAAAAAGCTGGAAGTGAAGATGTGATTCAAGTGATAGAGTGCCACTTTTGAACAAAAAAGCTAAAGGATAGCACCAGGCCCAGTACCAGCATACACACAAAAAAAGAAAGACCTGAGACCTTGCTGACACAGGAGATAGGGCAGCAGCTGAGGAGCTGCTCCCAACTTCCATTCTGATGCCTCAGGGACATTGAGTTCCTTTCAGCAGCAGACTGAACTGGGGATAATAAGCATACTGACTAGGGGACAGAGTTAGAAGTTAGGCAAATAATTTTAACTTGACAATAAAGGCAAGGGGTTTGGAAAGAGACCTAAAGGATTACAGAAAGTCATCAGTTTTGCTCACTCAGAAATTGTCCAACGAATTCAGATTCTTTACTCTGCTTTTGTTCTGAATCAGTTTGATTTGGGATTCATTGTCTTGTCTGTCTGTCTGTCTGTAACAGTCTCCCTGTGTAGGCCTCACTAAGACTCCTCTGGAGATTACCATGTGACCTTTCTGCCTCACTTCTCAAATACTGAGGCTACAGATATATAACACAGTGTACAGCTGTGGATTTTTAAGTTGACATAAAATTGGATTAAAAATATATAACCCCTATCAAAAATTAATTAATTTCAATTAATTTATTGGTGTCAGTATTGGTGCTTGAACTTAGGTCCTTACCATCTAACATGGCTTTTTGCTCAAGGCTGGCACTCTACTACTTAAGCCACACCTCCACTTCTAGGATTTTGATGGTTATCTGGAAAGAAGAATTGCATGGACTTTCCTGGCAAGGATGGCTTTGAACCAAGATCCTCAAATCTCAGCCATCTGAATAGCTCAGATTTACAAATGTGAGCCCCTAGGTTAAAGCCAGATGCTTTAAGATTACTGTCTTAAAAACACACAGTTGATTGGACTATCACCAGATAAAACACAATATATACACATACTCTCAAAGAAAAGTCTTTTTTCTTAAAAACCAAACCAAAAATGGAAGAAATAGGCTTGTTGAGGGTGTCAGTATTATAATCATAGAGGGAAATCAGATCTGTTCAAATCCTAAAGTAGTCCTTCTTTTCCATCAAAAAGTATGGTTTCCAAACTACCTAAACTGTGGTGAAAAGAATATGAAAATTCAAGATGGACAAACCTTGGTTGACTTCTTATTCCTCCACAAGTATTTATTATAGGCACTGAATACATAGGTATTAAATAGAAAACTTGTATTAATGAAATTAAATGCACCATGAAAAGTAAATTTAATAAGTACCAAATAATTGGAGAGAAGAAAATATTCTAATAGTCGAAAGGAATGAAGTAATATGGCCTGGATTGTATATATTCATAAGCTCAATAAGAATTCCTAGAAATCCTTCAGAAAGAATAGTAGGCAAGTGATTTATAGTCTATATAAAGGAACAACTGTGATCTCTAGAAAGCTTGCCAAGAAAATGAAATATTAAATTATGCTTATTTCTTGCTTGGATAGGTCTACCATTTTGCTATAACAGAGCAATAGAGCAGATAAAATGTCTTGATTTCAGCAAAGCACTGAAAAGCTTTTTTATAATTTCCTTGAGGAATAGAAAGAGAAATTGAAGCAGGATGGCAGTACTCTTGGTAGGAAGAAACCATGAAGTTTTTAAGACCACTAGGAACAAATGAATCATGATTAACATAATCATATACAAAAGTGACAAATACGAAGAGTTTTCAGAACCCTACGTGACCAAAATCTATTCAGTTTAAGATAAGTTTGGGCCAACAGAACCATCAATTCTTTTAACAAAAGGAATGCAACTTTAACCTGAATTAATATTCTCATTTGAAAAGAGGGGCAATAGGGAAAAGCACAACTTTATTATTTTTGTGCTTAATTGTTCGTTCCAGTTTATCCTCTATGCTCTGTATCATGTGGAAAAGATATTAAAATATATAGTATTGCCAGGCACCGGTGGCTCATGCCTGTAATCTTAACTACTCAGAAGGTTGAGATCTGAGGATCACAGTGGGAAGCAATACATATATTATTAATATATATGTTACAATTAAAATAATAGTCTTTTTCCTTACTAAAACAAAAAGACTTGTTAGAGCAAAGATAAGGCCTGAATTCCCAAAGCAATCAATCTAAATATTCAGAACTAAGACATACAGGGAAGATAGAAGAGTACAAAGAAGTCGGGAATGAAGTTCATCTGCAGACATATGTATCCCATATTGATCCATTATCGACATGGATTAATAATTCACCTCTGAGTTTCTTAGCAGCCACAGTAAGGAGACAAATACATTAAAAGGTCATTGCTACACATTAAAAGTTATGTTTTTGTTTTTGTTTTTGTTTTCCCAGAAGCAACATAGATCTTTCTTGCTATAAAATAGAGACAAAAATTTTCTATGGGGTGCCTCATTGAACAAATACAACCTGAATACTAAAACAATCTTAAACTAGAGTAAGTTTGTTGGACGTTTTTACTGTTTGTAAAGGAAAGAACAGAAAATCAATCACAGTTTAGTAAAAGTCATTACTTTGGAGATCAAGTTGGGACAGGTTGATGTTGCTCAGGTTTGCTGCAGGCCCTGTTTCATGTCTGTTGGGTTTTTTGTTTTGTTTGTTTATTTTGAAGTAACTATGTATCCTTGAGATAGTCCTTTTGGGAACCAAACATTTGCTAATACCTGGGCAGTGGAAACTTTGAACTCAGATTCCTTGGCAAGAATGAATAGTGTAGGTATTTTTTGTTGATGATGAAGTACCAGAACTTTTGCTTTCATTGAAGGATTATAATGATTGTGAATCCCACTTTAATGGGTGGAATGACGTAGGGGACAGTGGCAAACAGAGTGACAGATGTGGACATTGTTGTATATGCAAAGTAGAACACAAAGAAGACTTGAAGATGGATGAAGTCATTGGCAAAACACATCCTCTGATTTCTGAAGAGCATTCTTAGCTTCTTCATATTTAACCCATGTTAAATATTTAACCATATATGTTCAGACATATGTGGAAGGCTTTGGATAAAGAGAGTGAAGTAGGGTTGAATTGTCTGTAATGAGTTTGTTGGTAGGAGGGTTCTAGACACTGCAGGGTTCAAAGAAGAGCTCTAAAAATATCTGTCAATGAAGATTTCAGAGAGCCTTATTTTTTATTAGATTTTCTTTTGGAACACAGATCTGTCCCTAATTTGAGAAGTTCCACTGTTCTGGAACTACATATGTCTAGAAGTAGAAGAATGCTTGTTCCTGATTCAGATCCCTGTCATTAGTGTATGAGTAGACAAAGCTCAAAGGTGATTTCTCTAGCAATTGGGTGGTAAGGAAATGGACAATGTGTGGGTAGCAGAGGAAATTCTTCTTCCTTTACTGTCCTCTTATTAATATAAAGGAATTCAGCTTAGAATCCATGAGCAATCTCCGACAACGAGCCCTGAGCATACTAGTAACCACTTAGAATACATGATAGCTTCCCAGGGAGGCCAGACAGTAAGTGGCTTCTGCTTTCTAAATAGGAAAGTGGCTGTGTTATGTGCTCCCACAGAAGAAACAAGAGACACATTCTCCATTCTCAGCTTTTCTCCTAGGATCTCTACTTGGAGAAGGTGCTGTATGGGAAATAAGCAGATTCTTCAATGTGAACATTTAAATGAAACACAGCGCACGAACACAAACCTACCCATGTAACTGATCCTTCATCAAAGCATCCCCACAATGGAGTCCTGTATGTTTGATTCTTAAAATATCTAATTGGAGTCCTGTATGTTTGATTCTTAAAATATCTAATAATGATGTAACCAGTGTCTATTCAAAAGGGTTTGTTGTTTTAGTCATTTTGTAGTGATAATGCAAGATTCTCATCAAATTTCTCTTTCTTTGTTGTTTTACAGTTTCCTCCTTGTCTTTGGTTGCTTGATTTTGTCAGTGTTTTCAACCATCCCTGAGCACACGAAACTGGCATCAAGTTGCCTCTTAATTCTGGTAAGTGAAACATATGGATCAGAATTTCATGAAGTATGTATAATAGAAGCAGTTGTGACCTTTGATCCATGCATTTAATCCCACAAAAAGTTCTATTTATTACTATGAAATGTGTAATAATATGTGAAATGAAAGTTTCAAATAGAAACATTTTCCTACCAGCTTATATTATAATAAATTCTCAGAAATACCTAGAAATGTTTAGGATTGGTATTATTTGGCAATGTCTTATGACGGTTATATCATAAACAGAAGACTACATGAAGCAATTTTAATTATGTTTACCTATGCTAATGAATTAGAGTGAAAACCAATATCCATGAGCTCTGTCTTTATTACAAGACTACAGGGCAAAGAGTATTTTACAATAGCCACAGTTTAGCAGTAGCTAAATATAATTAGCTAAAAACTAGATAATCTTGGCACCTCATAAGGAAATTGAAGGCTCCTTCATGTTTTTTCAACTTGCATACTGAATTGTGAGCTCTGCTGCTAATGCAGCTACCTAGTGGGAAATTCCACAGCTCGCTTTGTTTCCTGCACAGAATTTACTCAATTCACTTTCAGATATAGAAAGATCCCAAGGTACTTTAGTCCAAATTATTCTGAACCTTCTAAACTCTTATAGTTTCTATTACAATGAAATTATAGCACTGTATACTCAAATCACATCTGACTGAAGGGTTAGTTCATTTATTTCCATTTCAACCCTGCTACCTTAGTCCAAACTGATCAGACTTGACAGGAACTGGAATAACTCACTTTTCTAATGCCTAGCGGAGCTCAGTTATCATTGCTTTAGTTTGTAATCCTAACTTACTCAGGAGGCTGAGATCTGAGGTTCACAGTTCAAAACCAGCCAGGAAAGTTCATGAGACTTGTACCTCCAATTAACCACAAAAAAATGTAAATGGACCCAGGTTCTGTTGGCTCACACCTGTAATCCTAGCTATTCAGGATGCTGAGCTCTAAGGATCACAGCTGGAAGCCAGCGGGGCAGGACGGTGCATAAGAATTCTATCTCCAATTAATCACCAAAAAAGCCAAAAGTAGTTTAGTGGCTTAAGTGGTAGAGTGCTAGCCTTGAGCACAAAGGAGTCCAGGGACCACTCCCAAGCCTAGAGTTCAAGCCCCAGGGCCTGTAATTTTAAAAAACAAAAACAAAAAAAGAGAACAAATAAAAATGAAACTAAGGCTTCAAGTGGTAGAGAACTAGCCTTGAGCAAAAACGAACCCAAACAAACAAACAAAACAAAAAACTAAGGGACCAAAGCCTAGCTAGACCCTGAGTTGAAGTACTGGCACAAAAAATAATAAATATATCAACTTTAATGGAATAGACAGGAAGGAGGGGGATGTAGTTTAAAATAGTTTATGCTCATAAATCCCCAGATTGTTTATATACAGAAGGAAGTATTTAATATGAAAATGATGTTATCAGCATTAATATGTAAAACAGGAATGTTTCCACTCAGATAATCCAGAAGGGCAGATGCTGGTCTGACCTGTGCTTTCATCTAGTCAGTTTGTATTTGAGTTGGCAAGACTTCATCAAGCTTTATGATCAATAATAGGGAAAAATTATTTCTGAGTTAGGAAAAATTACCTGTGCCAATTTTTCTCCATACAAATTGTACAAGCAATATATTGTTAACATCATGGTTATGGTTTCAAAACCTAATATAGATAACCAACAGACCAAAGAGCAATTTGAAGGTTGGTTCCATTTACAAGGTTTCAATTCGGGTAGCCAGTAGGCTTTCAACCTGCTTACGCCTTTGATTACTACAAAAGATCTCAGCCAGATCTTAGGCACAGTGGTCTTTAGGTCCTTTTACAACCAAGAACTTTACCTTAAAAATATAAATCAGACTTTCAGAAGTAGAAACATGAATAACAGGATTTACCTCATGACCAAAGTTATGTATTAGGAATAAATCCTTCATTAGGAATCCCATAAAAACATTTATTTCAAAACTAAGAATCCAGGGCTGGGAAGGTGGCTCGGTGGAAGAGTGCTTGCCTTGCATGCATGAGGCTCTGGGTTCGATTCCTCAGCACCACATAAGCAGAAAAAGCCGGAAGTGGCACTGTGGCTCAAGTGGAGAGCGCTAGCCTTGAGCTGAAGAGCTGAGGGACAGGGCCCAGGCCCACGACTGACAAAAACCAAAACAAAACAAAACTAAGAATCCAGAAGAGTAGGTTACAATCTCAAATTTCTGAAATACAAATTCAGTCACTGCTAATAAGTTCCTAAATAGATCAAAGGAATCTGTGCGACTATAATCTCCAAATTGATCATGATGCTGATAATTTAAACCTGTTCAATAATGAACAACAGTCAGTAACTATAATATAGTTTGGTAGATAAAAATGAAGACAGACAAGCACTGGTGGCTCATGCCTGTAACCCTAGCTACTGAGGACTGTGGTTCGAAGCCAGCCAAAGCAGGAAAATTTGTGAGACTCTTATCTCCAATTAACCATTAAAAGCCATAAATAGAACTATGGCCTTAGCCTTGTGTGGAAAAGCTAAGGAACAATGACCAGGCCCCAAGTTCAAGCTCCAGCACTGGCAAAAACAAAAACAAAAAAATAAAATGCACAAGACTAGGGTTTTTCTACATGTTTCCCTGGCTGATCTCAAGCAATCCCCTGCCTCAGCTTTCTGAGTAGCAGAGAATATCAGCACGTTACCATTTCCAATGTGAAGTCACTTTTGTATACATTTATGTGCCTTGCTGGTATGCAAATATAACACTAGAGGAATAAATTTAGTCATATATCTCAATTGTCTTTTTGTAACTTTATCCCTTTAAGGTTTTAAATGAATATTTTAAATGTGGTCAGAGATTTCCTAGAATTTTACTTCTATGTAAATACAAGGTACCCACTTGTCTAACTGGGAGAAAGAGGAGGAGGAGGAAAAAGAGGAAGAAGAAAGGGAGAAAGCTGGTAGAGGAATAACACTATCTGATTTCAATAGCTCACATATTTATAACAAACTATACTAATCAAAATGTTATGGCATAGTCATAAAGGCAAAGTTGTACACTAAGTGTAGTAGTGGAAAATAATAGTCCAAAAACAAATCCTTGCATATATCTTAAGTGATTTGTGTGTGTGTGTGTGTGTGTGTGTGTGTGTGTGTGTGTGTGTGTGTGTGTGTGTGTGTGTGGAGGGAGGCAGGAGGTGGAGGGGGGAAGGTAAGGGAGTAGGGGGAGGAGGATCATGGGGCTTGAACTCTGGGCCTGGGTGCTGTCCCTGAGTTCTTCAGCTGAAAGTGAGCACTCTAGCACCTGAGCCACAGGGCTACTTCTGGGTTTCTGAGTGTTTTATTGGAGATAAGAGTCCCACAGACTTTCCTGCCCAGCCTGGCTTTGAACCATGATCCTCAGATCTCAGCCTCCTAAGTAGCTAGGATTACAGGCATGAGCCACCAACGCCTGGCTGTTAAGTGATTTTTGACAGGAATAGCAAAGCCATTCAGTAGGCAAAGGTCTCTTTTTAACCAATGATGCTGGAAACATTCACAAATAGGAGAATGAACTTGAACCCTTACCTAACACCATAAACAAAAATTAAACCAAAACTGGATGAAAAACCCACCTCAAAATCTAAAACTCATAGCTGAAAACAGAAGGGTAAAGTTTCATGGCTTTTACATTTTTGTGTGTGTCTGCCTCTGGGCCAGTACTGGGGGCTTGAAACCAGGGTCTTATGCTCTCGTGTGTTTTTGTGCTATCCTCTACCACTTGATCCACACCTTTACTTCTGGCTTTTTTCTAGTTGATTGGCGATAAGCAGCTCAAGGTCTTTTGTATCTGGGCTGGCTCAAAACTTAATTCTCAGATGACCTTAATTCTCAGATCTCATTCACCCAAGTAGCTAGATTACAGGCATGATCCCCATACATTCATTCACTTTGACAGTGATATCTTGGTCATAATATTAAAGGAAAAGACTACAAAACATAAAAAAAAAGACAAATGGTTCTTCAGGAAAAAAAAAATTAAATTGCATCAATAAACAATCATCAACATAGTAAAGAAATGGAAAGACTGAAAAAAATCGTATTAAGTAAGCCAGACCCAAAGAAACATAGATCCCATGGTTTCCCTCATTTGTAATAATTAGTGTATGTCTAGGATAGTCCTAGCAGAGGATCATAATAGGTCAATAGCTATGTACATATGACCATATAAAATGATGCTAATCAAAATGAACTCTATGATATGAAAACAAAAGGTGTTCTTTGTTGTTTTTAATGTACTATGTGATTTCTTTTTCTGTGTGTGTGTGTGTGTGTGTGTGTGTGTGTGTGTGTGTGTATTTTGGTTTATCCTCTGTTGTCACTGTATTTGATTTTGGTGCCCTGTGTATTGTATATACATTTTTCTGAATTAGGAAGGGGAACAACAAAATGGTGAGACAGAGGACAAAGGGTGAACCAATGCAACATTGATACTCACCAGACAATATATTGGAAATGAATTGTACAACTTGGGAGACAGCTAGGAGAGAGGCATAATGGGAAAAAAATGAGGGAGGGGGTAATAAACTTTACAAGAAATGTACTCACTACCTTATGTGTATGACTGTAACCCCTCTGTACATCACCTTGACAATAAAATTAAATTTAAAAAGGGAGAAAATATCTGAAAAATCATACATCCACTAAGAGATTAACATTTAGAATATATAGAGAATTCAAAAAACTTGGCAACACCAAAGCCAAATAATAAATTAAGAAGGCTTAATTTAGAAATGACTAAAGAAGTTGAATAGACATTTTGCAAAAGAAGATGTACAAACAATGGATAAGCACATGAGGAGATGTGTAACATGAAAAATCATGAGGAATGTGCAAATTCCCAATGATAATACCTGTCAGAGCACCGCTGACAGCTCTTAGGATGCTGAAACAGTCAGCCTGTGAAAAACAGTCACTGTGAAAAACACCTGAGAAGTAAAAGGGAACAAGGACTTATTTTGGGTCA